CCACCCCCTATGTTCATAGCAGCACAGTTTACAATAGCTAAGATCTAGAAACAGTCCAAGTGCCCATCAGTAAATGAGTGGATAGAAAAGATGTGAGACATTTATACCATGGAATACTATGCAGCTATAAAGAAGAAGGATCCTCTACTTTTAAAATTCATTGTTAGGCGTTAAAATAACAGTAACTTGATGTATGCAAAATAATGGTTGTCTCGTTGTTCTGTCCTACCCAGGAGATGGGCATCTGGACAGTGACCATGCCTCTTGGACACTACACCAAGGAGGACAGATGCTGACTAAGGGTCAGATGCTCCCCGCACCCCCAGGGTCTGGGCGCTATCATACTAATCACCACTAACATTTATTGTCATCATATGCCAGGCCCCACTCTATGCACTTTCTATGGATTATCCACATAAATGTCTTATAGACACACCCAGGGGTGGGGGGAGCTGGAGAAACCCTGAAACTTCTGAGTTTCACCCACATAAGAAAATAGGACTCGATACATAAATTAATAACAATGGCTACCATGCATATAGTGCTTTACATCCATTGATTCATTAATCCTCGCAACCCCATGATCTGAGTAGTTCCTTATCCCTGGGTTACCGATGAATGAGCCAATGAAGAGAGTGGCTGAGTGACTTGCAGTGTCTCACAGCCAGTAAGCAACAGAGTCTAGATTCACACCCAGAGTCCATGCTCTTAACCGGCGTCACAGAAGGAGCAGACTCTCGAAGCACAGGCTTTATGACCACCTCAACCCGTGTTTAAATCGGGGCTCTGCCTCTCAAAAGTGCTGGGAGCCCGGCCGGGCGTGGCTCAGCGGTTGAGCGTCGACCTGGGATCTGGGCGATCGGAGTTCGATTCCCGGGCAGGGCACATGCCCGGGTTGCGGGCTCGATCAATGACTCTCATCATTGATGTTTCTGTCTCTCTCCCTCCCTCTCCTTTCCTCTCTCTGAAATCAATAAAGATATATTAAAAAAAAAAAAGTGCTGGGAGACTCAGGCAAGTCGCCGATCTCTCCAGGCCTTCCTCATCTACAGAAGTGGGACAGCAATACCTCATCATGTTTATTAGAATTAAATGAGATCAGGGCTGTAGAGTTGTTAACACAGTGCCCCGTACATTGTGTGCTTAAAGATGGCACTGCAAGTGACAGCCCTCTCTCTTTACTAAAGCCCAGGGGCGCACCGTGGCCAACCTGTGTCTGCAGTTACTGGCCGAGTGGGTTTGGTTGCTGTATGTATGGAGTCTTCACTGAACCCGAGCAAGGCCAGTCCTGGCTGGCAGGGTGGGAATGAATGCGACATTATCCACAGCAAGTGGTGATGAATTCTGTGAGCTCACAACTCTTTTAATAGGTACCAGTTTCAAGAACTCAAAAACCTCACTCAAGTCTTTGGAGAGATTTATAGAATCATCGCCCTCAGCCCCTTCCTGAGGCCCCAACAGGGAAGTGGTACAGGAAGGTGGCTGAAGGAGCCTTTCTGTCCCCCTTCCTTTACGGGGCGGGGTGTGAGTGAGTGTGGAGTGCTACAGTGGCCTCCCCAGAAATGGTTCAGTGACCTGTCACCACAGGCATTTCCCTTGGCCCCACTACAGGGAGGTTGTCTGAGAAGTGAGAAAAGCCTAACAGTTCAAGACCAAAGGTCCTTTGTAATGTGAGAATGGAAAGACCTGAGAGTGTGGGGAAATGCTGGAAAGTTGGGCTGAAAAAATGTATCTTCCTTTCCAGCCTGTAGTTTTATACCATCTAGGAGGTTGGTGTTCTTGGCCCAGGGACACCCCAAAAAGTGATGCCTGCTTAGTCTTTGGCTTTTCCAATCCCTTCCCCAGAGAACACCCCAAACCTAATAATGAATGTGACTGGTAGTTAAGGACTTCCCCTTTCGATCACAGATCTTAAGTCTCTATTGACTGTGTAACCTGGACAAATAACTTCACCTCTCTGAGCCTCAGTTTCCTTCTCTGGAAAACAGACAACACCAGTTCCTCCATCCTTGGACTGTAATGAGGACTGGATGAGTTAAGGGTCTGATGTTCTTAGTTCAGAACTTCATATGGCACCTATGTGGCAGATGGTAAGCATCCTACAAATGGCAGCAGTTTTCAGTTGTTATTTATGACTTACTGTAGCTATTATTATTAAAAAAGCCTCTATTAATCTCCATAAACAAGCTGTTTTTGTAACCTCTCATCCAAGCCAGCACTGGTGGCAAACAAGTGAAAAAGAAAATATTCTACACTATTTTGGGCTAACAAAGCCTAAGGGTTGGCACTTTACCGCAATGCCCATTAACTGATTTATAGTTCAACAAAATATTTTTCATCCATCCATCCACTTATCAAATATTCATTCAACACCTACTATGGGCCAGGCACTACCCAGGGAACATAGGATACACAGAGAAATTCCTGTGGCAACAGGTCACTGAACCATTTCTGGGGAGGCCACTGTAGCCCTTCACACTCACTCACACTCCACCCTCTCAAGGAAGGCTAGAGTGGGTGTTTTTTTTCCAGTGAAGGAAAAAAAACCAAAAAAATCCAAAATCAGTGCCCTTGTGAAGCTAACATTTTAGTGAGGCAAGACAGACAAATAACAATGAACACAGTGAAGCCCCCTTACGTTAGAAGGTGATGCGTGCTTTGGGAGAAGGAAAGAGAAGAAAAACTACAGTGAAGGGGAGCTGGGAACCGGGAGGGGAGACTTGCTTTTCTCCACCGTTAGGGTGACGCATCAACTGCAAAGTGAAGAGTGTGAGTGAGCAGAGCTGCACTGGCTTTCCAACTTGTTCTGCGCCTCAAGGCAAGCCCCTTCGTATGCCTGTGCCCATGGTGAGACAGGGCTACCTCGATGACCTCAAAGCTCTTTTTAGACTCAACGTTTCAAAGCGTGATCCATGGGTCACCTGCACCAGAATCACTTGGTACAAATACAGACTCCTGAGCCCCCACCCAGAGCTACTCGATCGGACTCCCTGGGAGGTAAGGCACAGGACTGACTGCTAAAGAAGCCCTTCAGGTGTGTCTTATAAAGCCTCACATTTGGTAAGCATGATTCTGCATTCCTTGTTTTCCCCATAGCAAAATTCTCACAAAGTAATTCCTGTCTCTGGTGGGAAGCTTCTTCCAGGTTTCCGATTTCGATGCAGCGTCTTTGCCCTTGATGCTAATCTGGGGCAACAACAAGCTCCGCTGCTTTATCTCAGCCACCTTCAGACTAATTGACTTGCCCAAAGGCCTCTGGGGCTTAAGTTACACCTGACCTATTAGAACACAGCCAGTCAGTCACTGCTAATGACTCGGTGACACC